TTTCCGATAAAGAAACATCCGCCTGATGTACTTTTTCTATCGTCAGCGTTTCCTGCCCAGTCAGCATCACTGTATCCTGCAAGATTCAGATTAGTATCATTCGAGTACCAAATACCATAATTTATCGTACCTTTAACGTATTTTATAATACGCTTTACCGCCTTTAAGTGTGACTCTTTTGGATCGGCTTGATAGCGTGCACACATCCCAACACTTACCATAATATCTGGTCGACTGGCTGTTAAGTATAGTAGACTGCCTATCAAACTTCTGTACATAGTAGAGTCTACAGACGTTCCTTTTTCATCTTTGAACAATTTTGTAGTCGTGAAGAAAAGAGTACGAGCATCTTTTGCAGATTCAAGCCCAAATTTTGATAGAAGATTTTTCGCATATTTTTCTTGTGAAATAAAAATCCCTTCTTTAGTTTGACTTACTTGTAATCCAAGAAAATAGGTTAGTTCATCTATCATGCTCATTTCAAACTCCTGTTGCATTACCTTTACTAGCTGGTCTGTCTCTCCTAGGTGTCTCTCCTAGTTGCATTACCTTTACTACACACACACACACTATATATATATATTATATACACACACACTGTACACACAATATATATATATATATATATATATATATATATATAGTGTGTGTGTGTAGTATATATATATATACACAGTGTGTGTGTAGTATATATATATATACACAGTGTGTGTGTAGTGTATATATATACACCTAGGAGAGACAGACCAGCTTGTAAAGGTAATGCAACAGGAGTTTGAAATGAGCATGATAGATGAACTAACCTATTTTCTTGGATTACAAGTAAGTCAAACTAAAGAAGGGATTTTTATTTCACAAGAAAAATATGCGAAAAATCTTCTATCAAAATTTGGGCTTGAATCTGCAAAAGATGCTCGTACTCTTTTCTTCACGACTACAAAATTGTTCAAAGATGAAAAAGGAACGTCTGTAGACTCTACTATGTACAGAAGTTTGATAGGCAGTCTACTATACTTAACAGCCAGTCGACCAGATATTATGGTAAGTGTTGGGATGTGTGCACGCTATCAAGCCGATCCAAAAGAGTCACACTTAAAGGCGGTAAAGCGTATTATAAAATACGTTAAAGGTACGATAAATTATGGTATTTGGTACTCGAATGATACTAATCTGAATCTTGCAGGATACAGTGATGCTGACTGGGCAGGAAACGCTGACGATAGAAAAAGTACATCAGGCGGATGTTTCTTTATCGGAAAAAATCTAGTCGCCTGGCTAAGTAAAAAGCAGAACTCGATTTCACTCAGCATAGCTGAAGCTGAGTATATAGCGGCGGGTAGTTGTTGTACACAATTACTCTGGATGGGTCAGATGTTAATCGACTATGGTATAGAACAACAGAGTATGACATTGTTCTGTGACAACACCAGCGCAATCAACATCTCTAAAAATCCAGTCCAACACTCCAGGACGAAACACATAGACATTCGACACCACTTTATTCGTGAACTAGTCGAAGAGAAAGAAATTATCTTGGAATATACTCCAACAGATAAAAATCTTGCAGATCTATTCACCAAGCCTTTAGACAAATCGAGATTTGAACTGCTTAGAGCTGCCCTTGGGGTTTGCAATCCCACAGCTTAATCTACCACACCAGGTACAACAAATAATCTCTAGTTATTTTTTTTCAAACGTGGTTGTAGTTTATTTGTTGCAGGAAAAATAAAATTCTAAACCTCTCCTACTTACTTTTAATTTTCTCGTCATTAAGAACCCTATACCTGCATGTTTCCTTACCCGACTCGGCTACCTTATATATCTATATATTAATTCCACCACTACAAAATTAAAATGTGTATTGAAATATAAATTTCAAACAACTTCCACCACTCTCTCCTAGTATGACTCTACTCCTACCCCTACAAACTTGTCACATCACTCATCCCATCCATCACAACTTTTGAGAAACTCATTAATTAAAAAGACTCCTTGTCTTTCTTGATCTTACTGTAACACCCCGTGTTACGGCCTTCAATCCCGGATTAATTATTAAATTAATCCCGTTAATAATAATTAAATATGATTTAATTCGGTTAGGTTTCCTTTGATTAATTAATAAAGGTCCACCATGAACCGTGGACCCTTGCCTAAATTAGAGTCCTAAGCCTATTAGGAATAAAGAAAGTAAACCCTTTACTATTCAGATTCTAATTAGGAATCCTAGAACTAGTTATCTATTAGGAATAAAGGAAGTAGGCCTTTTACTATTCAGACTACGATTAGGATTCCCTTTAATTAATTAATATGGTCCACTATGGGTCATGGACCCTTATCCCTAAACCCAATCCTTAGTTCCAAAAGGAATAGAATTAGCAAGCCTATAATATTAGTTCCTAACCAGGACTCCTAAATATATAAATAGGGGACTTAAGAGGCACCTAGAACCCCCCACAAGAATAACGCCCCACCACCCCCAAAAGAGCTCCAAGAATCCCCTTAGGAGAAATCAAGAAAGCAAGGAAGCTTAAAGAAAGATCCTTCATAGCCAAGGAATTAATTAAGGCTAAGAGGTAACCCATGTCTCAACAAAACCTATTTTCATAGCTATGATTTCCCCTTAGGGTTTCCCCCGTATGATTGTGAATGGCGAATTACTATGATTATTATTGATGTTGATTTAATGATTCCATGGGGAATCTTGATAATCTTGATATTGGGAGTTTCTTGATAATTGTGATGTTCTTGATGATTAATTGGGATTCTTGATGATTATGTGTTGTTCTTGATGATTATGATGTTCTTGATGATTAATTGGTATCCTTGATGATTACGTGTTGTTCCTACCGAATCTTGCAATTAGAAGACGAATCGTATTCTTGTTGATATAAAAGTGATTAGAACCCTAGGTAGTACCGTATGCTTTGATTCTTGGATTATCGGGTGGGAAATCGCATGTTTGGGTGTTGATTATGTTTAGAAAAGCATGATAGGCCATGTGCCGTTCGTTTCCCGTATTTGATCCGTTAATTGTCTACTTGTTGTTGTTAATTGCGTTGTAAAGTGCCTAAGCATGGTTTCGGGTTCCACAACGGTTCCCGGGGCGAAAAGTGATGAAAAGAGTCAGTGGGGGGTAGGTGGGGGTAGGGGACCCGCCACCTACCCGCGGCATTCTCGGGCAGCTCCGGCAGCGGGTAGCCGGCGGGCGGGCAGCTGCCCGCCGGGCACCCGCTGCCCGGAACAGTGGCAGCCGGCGGGTGGACCCCCACCCACCGGCTACCCGCTGGAAAGTACCCTACCTCGGGCTCCCGGTTTCCCCGTTTGATGTTTCCCCGATTCCCGTGGTGTCCCAACGGACCCCGTTGTCGTGCCTATGTCTAGTTTGATGTTTCGGGTACCGTTCGTAGGTTTATGAGTCTGTTATATCGCATGCTAGATGAATTGGTATCCCGTTGACCTAGGTGAAGGAAGTATGAACCCCTTAGGACTATTCTTAGTATGTGATGGATCACGCATAGGTTTGTTATACGCTTTATCCCCCTTCCCGATGTGTAACGTGGGTTGCATGTGCTTGCTATGTGTTATGTGTGTGTGCTACCCCAATTCGGTTGCGATCGGATTGGTTATCCTGAGCTGCGGTTCAGAAGCTGGCTGCGGTCAGATTGGTATTCCTGGCTGCGGTCAGATGACATTCTCTTGGGCTGCGGTCCACCGTTTGGTTTCGATCAAACGTTTCTATACGAGCTGCGGTTTGTCCTTTATCCTGACTGCGGTCAGATGACACTCTCTTGGGCTGCGGTCCACTGTTTGGTTGCGATCAAACATTATGATGAGCTGCGGTTCATCGGTCGGTTGCGATCGACCTCCCCGTGTTGCGATACGGGGCATGGTGCTGCGGGGCCGTGTCAGAGCTATATGCGCTGACCCTCATGTATGGGCATGCGATTGGTCCTGTGGCGCCAACAAAGTGTGTTATGTGTTGTGACATGGACGAGTTGTGATTACGAGTGTCTTGGGGGATGTGACTATGGGACTTATATTGGGGATTGTTCATGTTGGGTTACGATCATTGATTATGCTTTGCCTTATCTGCCTTATCTGTTGTGAACTGCATATGCTCGTTATAACTGTTGCTTGCGTCTGGCCTTATCTGGATAAAACCTATCGAATATCTGGCTCCGTCCCTGGATAAAGTGATGTGACATTTGGAAGGACACAATAAGCATTCATTAGTTCATACAGATTTTAGAAAGACTAAGGTTGTGTTTGGTTTAGGGGTTTAGCTATTCGAAATGGAAATCAAAGTCATTATTATTGTTTAGTCGATAGGTTTTTAGAACACTATTATGAGATTTGATTACCCCTTAATTAGAAAACTCATTCCCTAATAAAATAAGGGTTTCATTCCATTATTTTCTTTTTAATTGGTAATTTGATTTTTAAGTTTAGATTAGTGCTTTTAGATTTTTTATTTTATTTTATTGTTTTGTTCATAGTGATGTTTTGGATGTCTTTATATTAAAATAATTTGTCTTGATTTTTTGTAATTGTATTTTTAAAACATTTATACCCATTATAGGATCATACATAATCAAACAACAATAATGATAATCATTCAAATTTCACCCTACTACCAAACATGCAAAATACTTTCACCAAAACTCATTACCATTACAAAATATTTGATTCACATTCCGATTCCAATTTTCATGTGCGAACCAAACACACCCTAAATCTCTTGTGCGTTCGGAAGGAAAATATACAATTCGGCACCCTGTATCCTTTTACTGAACAAGAAAGATTGATTTCATCAACACCATATTTTTTTTCTTTTTCTTTTTTCAGCCGTCTGGCTTGTTAGAGTTCTATCTTGGAGGAATGATGCATTATGTCATTATTGAAAATAAAAATTCTTATATTTTTAACTTTTTTATAAAGCACAACAAAATAGGTCCATTCCCTTTGGCATATTTGTAGATAACTAGCTAGCAACCATAAGATTAATTCAAAACCAAAAAAGGGTAGTGTTCTCGAAGATTCAACTAGTAAGGATACTCGAGTTAACCATTAGTACATTACAAAATATTGAACTCAAAGAGTGAATCAAGGAGATGCATATATTAATTCAACAAAAATATAATAAGATGCTTATATGTAAACAATTTTTGCTTTCTTTGATGCACGAGGAAAATGAAAAAACTTTTGCATGATTTCAAACTCCTCATTGGAATCAAACTCCATATGGCGAATAATGACAACCTTTTCAAGTGCGGGAAAGCAAGCAAGTAGCACCTCGATGAATTGCAATTCAAACCTTGACCCATTGAATAATCTAAGCTTAAAAGTGTGAAGCATTTTAAGCACTTTAGCTGCACTTTGAAGTTCCTCCCAAAGTATAGATCTAGAGATTTCTGCATAAAACTTCAAAAAAAAAAAAAAAGCCTCAATCAATTCATCTTTTACACCGGTATAACCTTGTATTAAGTAATGCGAAACAATAATAGAACAACTAGAATTTCATTAAATAATCTATCAATGAAAATGAAGATTACGTATAAATGATATATGTCAAGCTTGCGTAATTTCGGACATATTAGTAATGAATGAATAAATGAAGAGAAGTCATCATCATAAAGAACATTGACATCGTATAACTCCACGCATTCCACATTTAGTTCAGGTCCCCATCTAGTAAGTTCGCTGGCAAAAAGCTTGGAAACAAAAAGATATATAAAACGGATTAGTTCATAAAATATATTTCAAATAAATAATAGTCCGCAAAAAATAAGGAAGAAAGTACTGGCTAATATACCTTGAAAGGCTTGAAATTGAAATCCAAACAAAGAGTATGAATAAATGACAAGTCCAAGCTAACCGGGAGAATAGGAACATAATCGTCGATATCGTCATCATTGCAATAATACTGGAGTGTTAAACTGCCAAGCCTGGGAGCCTTAATGTTGAAATATGATGTATTTACACAATTGTTGAATGAAAGAGTCTCAAGCATAGGAACATCTATAACACAATTCATATTAATAGCACTAAAGATAACGACATCAAAACTAAGTGAAGTGACATTCGGAAATACGAAAGGGGCATTTATTGTTGGTGGAAATATTACTCCGCAGAGATCCAACCTCTTGAGAGTTGAGCAAGATAATATGCAATTTGGGAGCCCGAAGCATCTATTTGGACCAAACTCTGTTCGAAAAGTAAAGTTCATTTCTTCAACACCTTTTTGAGTGATAAAAAGGAACCATTGATCGAAGTCAAATTTTCGAGAACCATGCGTATCACTCATGATTGGTGAGTCACAATCAAAAACCAAGGCAAATTTCCGAATAGGTCCATGGTGCCGCATGAGAACTTTGTTGATTACATACATACAGGTTGATGTGCGATTATAACTGCCAGAATATTTTTCCCCAACATAAGCAAAGAACTTATCATCAAAGTTAAGCTGTGTGAGACTGGACCAACAATCTCTCCAAATGGTAGACAAAACGGCAGTTCTAGCAGCTTCTACGATCGGCAAAAATCCCAAAATATTGTCAAGTATTTCTATAGGAAGTTGACTGATTCGATCTCTTCCCGACATCATTTACATAACTTCAACATATGCAATTTAAAGAAGAAACAAATTAAAATTAAAACAATATCCTAAAATGAGTGCACTTGGTGATACCGCGATAGCAATTAAATTGCAACACAAAAGGATGAAAAATTGCAGAGTAGAAAACACAAATAAATCATATATCGAAATCAATTTCAATCGCACTACGAACATCTATTGAACATTAATCCCTAAAGATTATAATCACAGTATGAAGTTAGTGTCTGGGATTGAAAGGAAAGGCGGAAGAATGTATACATACACACAGGGGAAGGCAGCAGATTGTTTATTTATTTATTTGTAAAGACATATAATATCAATAATCCTCCCCCACATAATTAAACCAGCAAAAAGAAAGAAGAGGAAATCCCAATAGTGTAAATAATAAAGAATCAATTGAAAACTCACATTGAAGGCAGTAAAAGCAACCTTGTGAGCTGAGAAATTACAGAGATAATGAAATTCCTCAGGGAGCTCAAAGGGTGAATCCGTTGCCCAGTCGCCAACAAATTCGACAATACAACTATACAAGCATTAAACAACTTGTGAATTTGTGATTGCAGATTACCGCTAGAACCCTAAATCCCTAATTTTGCTAATTTGCGTATGCTCAAATTAAATACCTCGATTTTTAGGCTGATGTGCGGCGCGAACAGCTACTCTTGAGAATCCAAACTCCAAACCTTCGCTATGGCTGGGCAGTGTGGGCGAGACAGTCAGAAAACTGCGTCGTTGAGTTTGCACTTCTCGGCTCCGACTTCGACTTTGAAGAAAATATAGCGAACAGTGTGCGGTGGAAAAGCTGCTTTATTAGGAAAATATTGTGTGCTGGCAGTGGATTTATTTTGTCCGCAGAATTTTGATTAAGGTTTGAATTAGGAAAAGGATTAATATTTGATGCACCTATAGACGCTTTACATCGGCGGTGAAGGAGGAGATGACACATCATTAAAAATAAATTCAATATTAATCGGATCTTTTTTACAAAATATCTACGACTTGTATTTTTTTTTAAGAAACTCTTTTTATTTCTAATTAATAAAATATATCTATTTTTCCTAAAAACATACTTATTACTTACTAATTATCTAATTATTAATAATTTTGAATTAATATTAATATCCCATCCAACCCAACCCGTTAAAGCAATTTTATTTTATTTTGAAAATCTGTTAAAAGCATTCTAATAAACAAATAAATTCCTATTCTTTTTCTGGACACTAAAATTAAAGAATTCTAAATTAAGAATTGTAATTGATATGTAAATTATTATATTTATAATTATGAATTTTTAAATTTTAATTAACAAAAACCATCGAATTTCCTATATCTATCTTAACTCCTAAATCTATTTAAACCCCTAAACTCTTAAATTTAAATTAACAACCTTAGTCACTATTAGAAACAATTGCAACATCTTGTAAGAATATATATTCATCAAAATCCAAATTTTCTCTTTCAAAAGAACCCAACCTGTCAATCTTTTCTCTTTGTCAGAATCTTTATCTGTATTATTAGTAAAGAGTTCTTTTCGGTAAGTTGTTGTTTATATCTATTTTTTTATTGTTGAAATTATCTTTTAAGCTATTGATTTTTATTTTATTTTATTTTTTTAATTTGTAAACTCTAAAAATCTATACTTTAATTTTGATATAAAGTGGAAAGGTTGAGTTTGTAACTTGATTTATGGGTTTTTGGTTTTAAATTTTAAGAGCATAATATGCATAATTTTGTTAGTGGCTAAGAATGATGATCGAACATTGTAATGACTATATTGTTCATCTCTCATATGTTTTCTCTTTTTACTATTTTTCTGCTTGGTGACAATAATCTTTAACCTAGAATATACTACTATTCATGGGTTTACTTGTGTTCTAATCCCTTTATATATTTCTTTATAGATTAATAATGGCTACTTTCCAATGATAAAGACCATAATATAGTCGAAATTGAAGATCATGGTTGTGAAATTACTACAGAATTGAGTGAAAGCAATCATGATGAATTGGTGAATAATGGTGAATTTAATATAGGTGAGATCGAACAAAATGCCAATGCGGATGCGAAGAGTGATGTGAATAATGACGCAATAGAGTTATGTATTGGAATGGAGTTTCAATCACTAGATGATGCTTTAATGTGCTATACTAATTATGCAAAATATGAAGGTCTTGGAATTCGCAAAAGCCGCATAGTAAAGTCTAGAAAGAATCAAATGGTTATTGGACAAGAGTTTGTTTGTTCAAAGCAAGGTTACCGTGCAAAAAATATTTAGAGCGAGACAACAGGAAAAAACCTCCATATGATAAAACACGCATGGGATGCAAAGCCATGATTTATGTATCTAGAAAAGACGAAGACAAATGGGTAATATCTAAATTTACTAAAGATCATAGTCATGTGCTTGTTTTTTGAAGTAGAATGGGAAAAAAAAAATTCTTGACAATTATGCTTTACGAGGAAATAGTTGGCTTGAGAAGTTGTATTCCATTCGTGAAAAATGGATTCCTGCTTATGTACGTACTAGTTTTTGTGCTGGAATGTCTACTACTCAAAGAAGTGAAAGTATGAATAAGTACATTAAATAAAGATTATATAAATGCTAATACACCAATAAGTAAGTTTGTTGTTCAATATGACAAGGCTCTTGACGCAAGGTACAATAAAGAAAGGGAGAAAACCTTCAAAACATTGAATTCAAAACCTATCTTAAAAACATTGTATCCAATGGAGGAAGAAGCTTCAAAGGTTTATACAAGAAAGATGTTTAGAATGTTTCAAGACGAATTGATTCATTCTCAGCAATTTGTTGCAGAAAAAATTATTACTATTGAGCATGAGTCTGTATATAGGGTGCATGAGTTTGACAAAGAAAAACCAGAGTACATAGTGACATTCATGAGTTCGTCAACAACGATAGAGTGCTCATGTCACATGTTTGAATTTTTGGGCATCCTTTGTAGACACCAGTTGATGGTTCTTATCAAGAAAAATGTATATTCTTTACCTATGCACTACATTTTAAAAAAGTGGACAACAGATGCCAAAAAAGGAGAAATTACAAGCACATCAAATGAAGAAGATATGAGTAGTTACAATATGTGTTCAACATCATTGTTTAATAATATCATGGTTCACTCATTACAACTTTCTGAAAAAGCTTCACGTTCAAAAAAGCATTATGACACCACAATAGAATGCTTGCAATGTTTATTCAAAAAGTTAGATGCATTGAAGATTGATGATGACATGACTAGTACCACTGGTTGTTTGACAAGCATGATAAGTCATCAAGATGATGATGATAATAATGTAGCAATGCGTGATCCTCCTCGTGTGACTACTAAAGGTCGTCCTCGGTCTATCAGAATGAAAAGAGCTTTAGAGCTTAAAAGTAATGGAATTACATGTTCAACTCTAAAAAAGAAAGGGCATACCAAGCGTACTTGTGCATTGAAAAATAAAAATATGGTATGTAGTATGAACTTATTTTATAGTTCCATTTAAATTTCTTTATTTTTAAATATTATTTAATATTCATAATAATAATTTTCTTTAATCTCTTATTGTAGAATTTAATTGCAGATCGACAACAATTGTCAATTGGGACAAATGAAAAGAATTGATTTTGATCGATGAGAACAATGAAGACATAAGAAATGTGGTTCGTTTTATTTTTAACTAGTACTCCACCCGTGCATTGCACGGTATGAAAATAAATAAAGAAATTCATAAATAGTTATATATATATATATATATATATATATATATATATGCACACACACACATAGACAAGTATATAGTTACACATAATTGTACATATACGATTGCAAAAATATTAAATAAGTACTAAGGTCACCAAAATAACATGCAATTTATAACAAAGATTTAATAATATGTAGTTGTTATAAATTATAAATTATTAAACACTTCTTTGTACACAACATTCATCGTTGAAGAAGCACACTTTTCATCTTCGTTGCGAATGAGTAACTTAAGCCCTCTTGGTGAACTGACTCTAGACAATGCAACATATAGCTGGCCATGTACAAAAACAGGTTTTCTCAGAAGTAGGCCAACAGTAGAAAGCATTTGTCCTTGACTTTTATTTATTGTTATTGCATAGGACAGCATAAGCGGGAACTGCCTCCTTTAAAATTTGAAGGGCAATGTACTGTCAAATGGTGTTAGGGACAGACGCGGGATCAGAACTTTGGAGCCTGCTGCATTGCCAAATAAGAGCTTTGCTTCAACAACGTGGTCTGCTAATCTTGTAATAATTAACCGTGTACCATTACACAACCCAGCTGAAGGGTCAATATTTCGCAACAACATAGCAGGAGACCCAATCTTCAATGTTAAGCAATGATTTGGTAACCCAGAACATTTTAGCCCGTTCAATAACTCCGGAGTGTGTAACCCAGCCACAACATCAGAGGTACTCTCAGTGGGGCAGACCGAATCAGAACTAAAATAGGTCCTACACTCGGCAACATTCAAGTTGGTCATGTACGCATTAACTTCGTCTACAACTTCAAGAGTTGGGGCCAAAATTACTCGACTAATTAAATAATCAGCGTCATGTTGTTCTCGAAACATAGGAAATGTACTTTCCACAATTCCTTGGATTGGATCACCATTTGTATGCAACAAATTCTCATGTGAAAAAAACTAATATTAATGTTTAGTAGTATAAAAAATGTTATAATCAATAATTATATCATACAATAGATACTTTAATTAGGCATTTCGTGAATACAAATTTACCTGGATTTTGTAACTCTCGTCGCTGATTGAACTCTGCATCATCACACAGAAGTGGCCAAACAACATCCCAAAGTTTTTCAGGTTGGCATAAACAATTAGACGTTAACAAAGTCACGAATAAACGGTGAAGAGCTGAGGCAGTGGACCAATGACTTGCTTCAAGTATTGCATCAACATATTCCTTCTCATCACAAATCAAACCACGAGCATAACACGCATCACGGAAACATGAATATTGAATTCCATCAACATTGCGAATCTCTTCAAAAGATATTGGACCACGAACTAAATTCAATAAACACCTAAGATAGAAGATCTCACCAGTACCAGGTGGCACATAAAACATACGGCCTATAGCAAAACCACATCTTCTTGGTTGCCATTGACGTTATTTTCTTTTCCACACGAAACAATGAGGCATTTCTCTATTGGTCAATTCCCTAGCTCGGGGATACCTCTTATTAGCTTCAAACCATGCTAAAAACATACTCTTAATTGTTTGTCTTTCAAGCACATTCTCAATAGATAAGTCATCATAAAAAACAATACTTTGTTCATTCGGCAGATGGAAGCTTAACCGTTCTACAGAGGGATTACGGAACTGGATGTCATAGCTGAACAAACGCCACACAGCTTCACACGGAGAAATATATCGACAATCATAATACATATTAATCTCATCAATAACTTCGCTACTATCTTCATAAATAAATATATCTGAACACATTTTTTAAAAATTCCAAGAATTCATAGCCAAGAGGAATTTGGTTTATGGTTTCTTTAATTACTTAACTTTCACTGGTATGACTAATATGGGCTTTGTATTATTTGTTTACAGTGATGTAGCCATTTGATTGGTCAATAATCCATAGCACTGGACTTCC